GTAAACTTTGTGTATGTCTGTGCGTGTGTGTATATATCACATTGAGTCTCTCTCTCGCATAGGCCGAAAGGTCAACGAATACTTGTAATACATACATATATGTTGTACTGTAACTTTTAACCGCAGATCAAATAACATTGAAAAAAAAAATACCTACAGACTACTACTACTACCACTACTACTATTCCGTTTTTAATGTAAACTATAGTGTAGCCAAAGTGAGCAATTGATTTAAACTCGACAAAATATACTTCATGTTAGCTTACTTGTTCGGTTGATAGCTAGCAGTAGAATCTCTGATGTGGGTTTAGTCCCATTCGGGACCCATCAACCGAAGTGGTAGTGTCTCCACTGAGACTCGATCCCAATACCCATTGCCTCAGACACGACACGTTTATCCGTTGGACTACTGGGACACAAAAGGTGGCTTTTATTTTACTGCTAGCCAGCACCAAACAATTTATTATATTTTTTATTCTCATAGATTCCGTGTGAAACAGCTTCAGCAATACGTTTCCATTTCACTCTGTGCTCTGAGATCTTTTACACCTGGCTCCATGATTGTCTTATGCGCTTTCATTTCCTCGCTACATAATTTCCATAACACCCTCTGACGCCCAACTTGTCGTTTCCTATTTGGGTTTCACTCAAGGGTCTGGCGTGTACAGTGTTACTCAACGATTGCCTCATTGTGTATGTCGAATCCATCTCCATTTCTTTCTGCATATTTGTTGGGTGAAAGCTTTTCAGGTGGTTCCGTTCTTGGAGTTTCTTATTACTTGACCTTTTAGTCTTCATTGTGGAACAAATGCAGCTATTGATAAAAGTCTGTCTAGATAAGTAAACGAAGTGATCTCTTTCAAATTTATTCCAATGTAACTGTCGGTCTGTCTGTCTGTCTGTCTGTCTGACAGTTTTCGACATAGAACTTTGCACTGATGTGCACCAGTTCAAGTCGCCACACTCCACTCCATGTAGCACAGAAAGCCAGAGAACATAGTAGAAGAAATGCAAAATAGTGACAGTAAATAGGGATATGAGACAAAAGGAATAGTATTATCGAAGAACAATAAGTTTCATTCCAATTTTTAAGTCACGAGGAGTGGATGCATCTGCGTCAGCTAGCCATTAAGAACGATCACTTTGAGCCATATCACCAATTGCTTCCAACCATTGGTTTTTACCATCCCGAGGACCTGAACCAGTCAGGAAGTCTACATCTTCCAACGTGGCTCGCTTAAACTAACTGTTGTGGATTTCATGGACTGATGAGACCATGTTTTGGTTTGACCACCCCTGGCTCTTTTCCAACCTGACCCCACGTCAGTCAGCTAACATTGCCAGTTGTCGAGGAAGACGATGACTAGGCTGGTATGTGCTTAACACATGTCTTACCCATCTCAGTCGATGTAATTTCACAACCTCGTCGATTGATTTCCCCTCCCACCTACAAGCACTTGATGCCTTACCTCAATATTGTTCACCTTATTATAGCACTTCACACGGGAGATAGTACGCAGACACCTATGATCAAAGATAGCTAACCGGCCTTTTCATGTCTTCCACTCTCAATGACCAGGTCTCACAGTCATAAAGGAGGACAGAGCGGACTGCTAAGCAGTATACCCGCCCAATATCGCGAAAATATTCATTCAGACATTTAGAAAAAACAAACAATTTTTATGGCGGAGAATATCCTTTTCGGTAATTTCTTTTTCTGGCTCTACAATTATATATATATATATATATATACATGATAAACCTGTGATACTAATTAAAAGAAGCTTCCTGTGGATTCATGTTTTGTTTTACAATAGATTGATATGCACCTCACAGGTATTATTATTCAGTTTTGATTATAGGAATTAGCGGTAATAACTTAAACAAATCTATTTCCTTTTCAAGAGTTAGTTTGTAGGGCTTTGATTTGTTTCATGTTTGACCACAGATTGATATCAGTTAGAGGACTGCCGGAAAACCAGCATGGAGTATTAGACAGCTGTTTTGTTCTAGTTGGGGATTCATCCTGTGTACGAACCCACTGGAATTCGGAACCATGACCTTCCAGTACGAAGTCAAGTTCGTAGACCTTTCAGCCATTGGGATCCGAATTAGTGGCTCATGGATTCTAAATTCCATCAATTCGTGACCAGTAGGGGTCATCGGGTCGGGAGTGAGGACAAATACTCGCCTATGGCACTGGCTGGCAGTCGCGCTGAAATCACGAATCAGTAGAAGCTGGAATTCATTGACTGGTCTTAGGATTAGGTCCAGGTGTCTGAATGGTCTAGTAAACTTTCCTTGTAATTTGGTGTTCGTTCGAACCCCGGTGGGGGGGGGTGCGTAGTGATAGTGAGTCCAAAACTAGGATGAAATAGGTATACACAATACTCCCAACTGGTTTTCAACAGTTCTCTAACTGATAATCATTTTTAATTCAATTTCGACTTTCCTGTTCATTTATTGGATCGAAATGTCCGGCCTTTCTTGACCTGTCGGGTTCTGGTATGAACACTTCGACGATCTCTAAGGATTTTAACTTGTAGTAATTTAGTGGTTAGTGACTAGCAGAAGATGAGTCACAAATAGAACGAAACACGCATCCTGGATTCACAATTGCTAGTCACCATCTACTAAATATATTTATTTATTGAAAGCCTGAAATTACTGAGATAAAATTCTCTGAAATTGTTGTAGACTAGTGTTGTTGGTGTTGATGGTTATAGTTTTTATGGGAGGAACTAGGTTGTGATAAGCTTGAGACCTATGAGTTTCAATTAAATATTCCGTTGGTCAGTGGATGAATGATTTTCAAGGAATGTTTGCGCAACTCTTATAATATTTACATGATATTTCCTATGGTAAAACTCTCAGTGATTGAAGCAAGATTAATATTTCTTTTTTTTAATAATTGACTGATTGATTTGAGTAGTAGTAGTCAACTTTTAGTCAGTATGTTTCATGTTCACATTCTACTGCTGTGGTGAGAGCAGGCCATGAGAAAATATGAGCAAGGCTGATTCGACAACCAATCACAGCAAAGTTAACGTGGCAAAATATGATTCGCAGATAGAGAACTCTATTTGTCGAGGAATCCCGAAACAACCAATCAGAAGCCTGCGTTTGTCTGCCTAACTTCTGATAAACAACCAATCAGATGACTGCGCTTGTCTATAATAATGTATGTGAAATATGTATAAATACGTGTTGATTTTCATAATAAAACGATCTGTTGCCTGGCCCTTGTCTTCTGTTGTTACACTGCAACATGGCCAATTCACCCCTTTCATCTTTGCGGTTTTGAGACATAGTCATTGTAAGTGAAGAATATGAAGAGACTAGCCGTTTTTGACTATAGGTGTTCACGTTCTATCTTTTTGTATCAGATAGCACAATATGTTTGGTAATATTGAGGTTAGGAGCAGAGTGTTTGTGGTGAGGAGATGAAATTAATCGTGTGGATTGTGAAGTTATATCGATTGAGATGGCCAGAAAAGGTGTTACTCATCCCGAAGGATGATCTTCTTCGACGACCATTGTTAACTGGCATATGATTCGTTTTGATAAAGGTTAGTGTGATGGTTCATGAAGTTTTTGACTGTTGGTTTGAGTCACATAGGGTTAGCGGAGACTGCCTGACTGGGATCCTCCGAAACTCTAAGCACCAGTGGTTTTGTAACAAAAAAAGACAAGAGCCAGGCAACAGATCGTTTATTAAGGAAATCAACACGTGTTTATATATTTTCATGTACATTATTATAGATTATTGTTAGCAGAAAAACACACTCTTCTGATTGGTTGTTTCTCCCAAAAAGTCGACCTTGCATCTCTGTGACTGTTTCTTGAATGTCAGGTCATCTATATGTTAACTGTATCTGCCTACGCCAAGTCTGCTGTGATTGGTTGTTGGATCAGTCTTGTTCATATTTTCGCATGACCAATATTTGCAGCACAAACATTGACGTAAATAATTGTCTACCAGTTTGGCTAGCAGCATGCTTTCGCCACCGTTTGACATAATTGAACATCACATTTATTGAATGGGGACTGATGGTACTATTCAGTTGCTGTGATGACGTAGCTCATTGGCTCTCTGTTTTTAAAAGTCACGAATTCGAGCTCTACTCCCTTTGCTTTATCCCTAGGCAAATGGGTTTTCCAAGTATTGGTTTTATAGGGTTTTTTTGATTAGTGTGAGTATTTCATCATGAGCTGACATCAGTTAGAGAACCATTGGAAAATCTGCAGGTAATGCTGTACAGCTGTTTTATCCTGGTTTGGGACTCTTCATCAGTGTGCACCCACCAGGCGGGTCGAACCCAAAACTTTCTGGTTACAAGGCGAGCTAGCTCGTAGACCATTAAGCCACTGGGACCTGATCCAACGCTCCATGAATTATAACTTCTGCCAATTCACGACATAGCGTAACCACTTCACAATATCTTCTTCGATAGGTTACTGCCTCACCTACAACCTGCTGTACCCTACGGGTCACAGCTTCCCACTAGAACCCTACGTAACTGCCTAAATAGGGCTAGTTGCTAGTTGGAAGTCATAGCTTGACTGGGCCAGCCAGCGAAGGGGCAGCTGCTGATAAAAGTCTGTTGTGGTCTGTTGAAAATGATTTTCGTGACTTGTGGCGCAGTGAAAGTTTCTGATCCATGTAGAAGAAGTAACTGACTAACTTGATATTTGTATTGAACAGATTTTCTAGACTCTTCTTATCGGTCAGTCCAGTGTGTGTTCCTGTCTCCTCACTCACTTAGTATACTGGGATGATGTTCTCACCGAGCCTGGAACACCATTACTCACTGGTGAATGGTTGTACATCCAGGTGGTTGACGAGTCCCACGTAGGACGAAATGTGCGTTATCCTGGCTTCCACTGCTAGTCACCAATCAGTCGACGGGAAAATTTAAATTGAATTAAATGTACTGTTGTAAATTTAATTTACTTTCTAATACAATCATCTCCATTTTTTTTTCTTTTTGTATTTTTAGCTGTGCAAAGAAATATTCAATCAACCCTATATGATATTTTCATTACTTGTCCCATTAGTACATCGTAATGATACACTGGGTGATTCAGCTAGAGATTCATTTCTGTTAATATTTGCTATATCTAAAAAAGACGATCAACTTGGTCAATATTTAGCCTATGAATCTGATATATGCCCGGTAAGTTGGTTTCTGTTTTACTCTACTTGCTTATTTTGCCTCCGGGGTGATTCATAAGACGACTTCAGCAGGGCGTCGTCATTTCACTCTGTTCTCTGTAGCTTTTTATAGCTAGCTGCCTCTCAGATCATTCATAAGCTTCCATTCCCTTCTTCTTCTTCTCCTCCTCCTCCTCATATGATCACCTTCATGTCGCCCTGGGACCCCAGGCTTCAAATTTGTCGTTCCCTATTTGGGTCTTACTTGAGGGTCCGCTTGGCGCGGGTGTAATGTCACAAACGGTCTCCTCAGTGTATGTCCAGTCAGGATCCATTCCCTGCTGTATAGTTGTTGGGCTATAGGTTCTCAGTTGCTTCGTTCCTAGAATTTCTTGTTGTCAATCCTTTCTGCGTATTGTTGATAAAAAGGTTCCAGCAGCGTATGTTAGAGAAATGCTTTTAGTAAGTCTCGTGTGCCACATCTCTGAACCAGTATAAGGGTATTGATTATGGAAAATACGAATCGTATTCCTCACGTTGAGTGCAGATGATTGAAGTTCCGTCCTACTTTTCTGATCTTGGCTGGCTATAACATCCTCATTTTGTGCTGCCTGTAGCGGCAAATCAATATGCGAGGCTGTGAAGTTACATTGACTGAGATGGTTAGGGCATGTGTTACGTATACCAGCCTAGCCATCGCCTTCCTCGACAACAGGGAATGTTAACTGACTGATATAGGGTCAGGCTGGAAAAGAGCTAGCGGTGGTCAAACCAAAACATGGCACCAGTCAATGAAACCCACAACAGTTAGTTTAAATCAGATAAGTGGGAAGATGTAGACTTCCTGACTGGTTGGGGTCCTCGGGACGGTAAGAACCAATGAAAGCTACAGACAATTGGTGGTGATATGAATGAAAGTGATCGGTCCCAATTGCTGGCTGGTGCAGATGCATCCACTCCTTGTGACTTGTAATGCCCAATAAAACTATATTTCTCTTTGGTATTACTATTCTTTTCGCCTAATATTTCTATTTTGCATTTTTCTTTACTTTTTTCTTGGGCTTTATGTGTGACTACTTGAACTGCTGCACATCCGTGCAAAGTTGTCTGTTGGAACGAGTCAGTCAGCTGTCTATAGTTGAAGGAGGTAACTTTCTCTACGAATGAATCTGTTATGATGACTAATCACCACGACATTGTCTCCCATTTCACCGAAATATTTTGTAAACGATTTCAGTCAGCCCAGAGGACGACGTTTGTCACACAAATACGACTATTTATTTTGACACCCCATAATTGCTAATCGGTTATTCTACGTTAAAAAATGTATCCACCGCATAACTGGCCATCAATATTGTAACGACCACAAATATTATAATTGTTTTATAATTGTAAGAACCTGAAGAGGAGAAATTATTGAAAAAAAATATTCTTCGTTCAGATTGACTTTTAATTCACCATATGGGAATATTTAATATTATTAAGTTGTATGCATAATAAATGCGTTATTGAAAAGAGTCACTACGCTGAATCACTTATCACCTTTCATTTCCTCTCTTCCTTTCTACTACATTGTCACAGGTTCTAGCCACTGGTTTAAGTGGTCTTTATTCAAGTTTACCAAAAAAACTGGTACCACGTTATTCCGTGAATTCATACAATAATTATGATTACAATAATACTAGTACTAATTACGCTTACAATAACAATGGTACTGTCTTTGAATCTCCTGGTGGTCCTGTCTCTGTCACTACACCAGTTTTTATCCAATCAGATTTACGATACCCATGTCTTTTAGAATTACAGGTTGGCGGTGCTGAATGGCATCAACTGACAGAGAAGGAGAGTAATCATTCAATCGATCTGAGACGGTTTTTGCATACACTGGATTTTTGTAACCTTACAGTTAAAGTAAGTTGGGTGGTTGGCTGGCTGGTTCGTTTTTCTCATTGTGATTGTTGTTGTTGTTGGTATGTTTATTCTCTTTTTTGCTTAGTTGTCACTATGTCTGTCTGTCTGGATTCAACATAGAACTTGGCACCGAAGTGCACCAGTTCGAGTTCCCACGTTCCAAATAGCACACAGAGGTAGACAAGAATATGAGTGAAGAGAATCAATAGAGTTTGACAAGTATAAGAGTGAAACAGAATGGATAATGGTAGAAAGGAATATGAAAGATTACAGAGACTGAATACATCTGCGCTGGCCATTGACAACGATCACTTTGAGCCATGTCACCTATTGTCTCCAGCCATTGATTCCTAGAGTCCCGAGGGCCCCAACCCGGGAGTCTGCATCTCCCTACCCTACCTGACTCAGTTTAACTGTCAAGGATTTCATGGATTGATGCCATGTCACTATGTTGTCCCTCACTATCCATCCAGTACAATAAAACACACTTGGTTTTTCAAGTTACCGTACTTTCTAAGCTGGGTGGGTGGTTTAGTTGCGAAGCTTTCATTGTTTCTCTGAACAATATTTTTTTTTGATGCTAGCTTCATGGGGGCAAGGCACTCGAGGATTGGAAGAAAGGATACTTATTCAAACTGCCAAATAAGAGGGACTTAAGTCAATGCAAGAACTGGTGCGGAATTATGCTCCTGTCCATCCCAAGCAAAACACGAAACCGCATCATCCTGGAGAGAATCAAACACACTGCCCTGGATGAAACACTTCAACCGGATTAGGCTGGATTCAGGAGAAACAAGTCATGTATTGATCAAATCGCTACACTACAGATCATCATTGAACAAAGCTTGGGATGGTAGTCACCTCTCTATCTCAACTTCATTGATTTTGAAAAGGCCTTCGACAGCGTTGACTGAGAGGTGATTTAGGAGCTACTTCGCTGCTATTAAAGAGTGCCGTCGACAATTATACATCTCATCCAACACTTGTACGATAATGCTGCATGCCAAGTAATCGACAACGGGAAACTCACGGAATCCTTCGAAGAAGTGAAGAAGGGAGTAAGACAAGACTGGATGCCTATCTCCAATTATTTTCCTGATTGTGGTAGACTGGATAATGCCACAGACAGACAGCGGGCAATGAGGAAACAGGCATAAAGTGGACCCACACAAAGACATATTTAGAGGATCTGAACTTCGACGATGATATATATATCTGATTTCCCACAAACTGGAGAATATGCATGCGAAAAGCAACAATTTGGCAGAAGAAGCATCCAGAGAAGATAGGACTTCAGGTGAACATAGAGAAAACAGAAGTAGGTGATGAAGATTCCTGGGCGACACCACCAACAGCAGCAACAACAACAGACAACAATCAGCCAGCGTAAATGGGAGAAATATAAAAGAAGCAACCTCCTTTGCCTACCCACCAATTTGGGAAGCATCGTTTCAACTCCAGGCGGACGAAACTGACGAGGATATCAAAGCAGCGAGAATCGGGAAAGCAGTACAAGCTTTCATTACTCTCAAATCTGTGTGGAGGAGATGAACAGCACTCAGCATGAAAAATAAGATCCGGATTTTCAACTCCGATGTGAAGTCAGTCAGTGCTACTATACGGATCAGAGACTTGGCGCGTCAAACAAACTACACACCTTCATTAACAACTGTCTTTGATCAATATTCAAGATCAAATGTCCAGAAGAGATCACCAACAGGGATCTTTGGGAGGGAGCCAACACATCAGGAACCGATTGTGCAACAATTTGGCAGAAAGAAATGGAGATGGGTTGGCTACTCTGACGAAACTAGCAAGAGGCATCACTAGACAGGCCGTCTGACAAAATCCCTTTAGCGAATTTGTTCCGTGAAATCAAGTGCCTATCATCAATGACGTTGACAACTATAGGGCCCAGTGAGAGACCACTTGCCCTACTGACAGTCTTTGTCATCGCCTTCCTCGACGGGCAATGTTAGCTGGCTGACATAGGGTCAGGCTGGAAAAGAGCTAGCAGCGGTCAAACCGGTCAGTGAAATCTACAACAGTTAGTCTAAGCCACGTAGGAGGTGTAGACTTCCTGGTTGGGGTCCTCGAGACGGTAAAAACCAACGGTTGGAAACAATTAGTGACATGGTTCAAAGTGATCGTTCTCAATGCCTGGCTGTCGCTGATGCATCCACTCCTTGTGACTTATAATACCCATTGAAACTGTTTGGTTCTTCGTTATTACTATTCCTTTGCCTCACACCTCTGTTTACTGTCTCTATTATGCATTTGTTCTACTTTCTTCTCTTTCTTTGTGTTCTATATGAAGTGGAGTGTGGCGACTTGAACTGGTGCACATATGTGCAAAGTTCTATGTCGAAAACAGACAGACTGACAGTCTTTAGAGTTCTACGAAGTATGATATAGTCTTTTTTAAGCAATCCAGGAAAGAATAAGCAAGGGTGAACACTAAAGAGGAATCTGTAAGATGCACGTGTTGACAAACTGTAAGAGGTGTGCTGCTAGTCGAGTTATGCCTCAGTGCTTCAACTTCTTGATGTAAAAAGTCAGACGAAATATTCTTTTAGAAATTGCTAAGACATGGGAAGACCAGGCAGGATAGGTCAGAAGAAAGAATTAATCCAAGATACTTAACTTCAAACTTGATTTCTATATTCCTACTTCTACTGTGTTTATAAGCGAATTGTTTGGGGTTGTTAAAAGCTTTAAGTATGTGTTGAAGATTAAGTAAGAGTAACTTATACTTTGATGTCTGTGGTTATCTGCCTGAATTGATACCAAGAATCATATACATCTGCCCATAAATATGCATATATATATATATATATATATCACTCCTTACTTGTAGTTTATGTTCACTTCGCCGATATTTCATATAGATTTAGATAGTTACAAGGCGAGCTCGTAAACCATAAGGTCCTGGGTTCGAACCCCGGTGGGTGCGTACTGATGAGGAGTCCCAAACTAGGACGAAACAGCTGTCCAGTACTTCCAGTTGGTTTTCCAGTGGTTCTCTAACTGATGTCAGCTCATGATTAAATCCTCCATGCAATCAAACAAAATCCCTACAAAACCAACACTTGAAAATTAATCTGATGCTCACTAGCGCTGACTGGCCCTATTTAGGCAGTTAACCTGTGGTTCTAGTGGGAAAGCGTGACCAGTAGGGTACAGCAGGTCGAAGATGAGGCAGTAACTCATCGAAGAAGAAGACATTGTGAAGTGGTCGCGCTATGTCGTGAATTGGCAGAAATCTAGATTTAGTTGCAAATTAATTACAAAAAGTTTGACAGTCAAATAACAATTAGAGTTTAAGGTAAAGTTGAGTTAAATTGTAATTTTGATCTATTCCCCAGTCAATTTGCCAACCAGTAAAAAATCCCAATGGGGTGGGTAGAGTAACTAGAAGTCTAGATTTAATAAAAATGTGATTCCATACATTTGGTTCCCTGGATAAATTTCGATAGAGAAAGAAAGACCAGATTTGCAGTATATCAAATGTGGTATCATTCTGTTTCACAGGTTCTCATCGCCTGCACACCACTACCTGAAATTACAATGGTTATAAATAATAACATTTCATACTTCAATGTTTGATAGGTAATACAGGAAAACATTATAAGGTAAACGCATCTGGAATATATGTATTATAATTTATGGTTTAAGTTACTATCAATTTGTATATTGTCAAACTATGAAAAAAGAAAAAAAGGAGAGGGGTGAGAGAAGAAAGAAAACAGAAAAATCTAATAGACAGTGTCAACATAGCAACTCAAGAAGGTCAAAGTTCATCAATTTGAAAACTTACTTAGTGAGTTGAGTCCACTAGTGTGTGTATGACTAATCAGTGTAATGAAAGTGATATGGTTACCCAAGGGAATGAGAGATTGACTACACTCTCTTTGTCTGTGTGCATAAGTTTAGTCTGTGACGTTTGATTGCTGTAATTGCTTCAGCAGTAAATCGTAGTAGATTCGCTATCCTTTGTATGTTTAACATATTTTGAAGGATTTGGAAATCTCAACAAAATGACACATATCCACAGGGTGGGTGTCTGGTAATTGCACTTTGTAAATATCTGCTTCCTTTTAAGCATAAGTTTCTCGGATTATGAGTTGCCATGTTGACACTGTTTATTAGATTTTTCTATTTTCTGTCTTCTCTCACCCCTCTCCTTTTTTCTTTTTTCATAGTTTTACAATATATAAATTGATAGTAACTTAAACCATAAATTATAATAATTATAGTCTAGATGCGTTCACCTTATAATGCTTTCCTGTATCACCTATCAAACATTGAAGTATGAAATGTTATTATTTATAACCATTGTAATTTCAGGTAGTGGTGTTCAGCTGATGAGAACCTGTGAAATAGACTGATGATATCATTTTATGCTGAAAATCTGGTCTTTCCTTCTTTATCGAGAAATGTTGTATTCATTTAATATTATGCAGAAATTAATTGAGCAAATTGGTAAATAATTCCACGTTTAACAACTTAAATTATCTGGCGAATTATTTCTTTAAAATTAACAAAATAACTTTATGTGCGTCGGTGGCATAGCGGTTAGGACGCTCACTAACCATGCACACATGGTTCGGGGTTCGATCCCCGGTCACCGACGCACACCTGATATCAATTGATGGTCGGCCTGCTACATTTGGGCTACCGATATCGCATGCTGAAAATTCCATACTTGCATCAAAAATACTGTGTAGAGTTAAGCTACAATAAAGTTAAAGTTAAGTTCTTTAGGATACAATTGGTGGATGGCGACTAGCATTGGAATCCAGGATGCACATTTCGTCCTTTTTGGGACTCGTCAGCTGGATGTATCTGCATTTCTCAGTGAGTGATGATGTTCTTTACCCTTCTGACTACAATCAACCAATCAATCAATTAGGGATTTGAGATCTGTCTCACTTACTATCAGTAATAGTTTCTAAGACTTTTTTTCCTAGCAAGGGTTTGATTGATAGGACTAAGCATAT